AAAGAATTTCATCTAAAATATCTTATTTTCATATTTTGCAATAGAGAGAGATTTTCCAACAATTTTCAAATAAAGACATGAACTTTAATCTTATTCAGAAGAAAAACCCTCATCTGCTCCAACGTACACAGGCCTCAAAGCTTCATCTATGGAGGAACTTCTTAAACCATTTAGCCGATTTCTTCGGATACAGTTTCAGATTGTTTTTGTAGTCGACGTACGTCATCCCGAAACGGATCGTGTAGCCATCGAACCATTCGAAATTGTCGAGCAACGACCACGCAAAATACCCTTTAACGTTCGCTCCCAATCTTGTAAAAACAAACACAAAATTTTTATATATCGACCGGTCCACACATTTTTCATTGTTATATAGTCCAAAGGGAGAGTACTTACGAAATTGCACTTCGAACCATTTTGAGGTGTTTCGAGAAGTAATCTATTCTCTTGGTGTCGTCGAGGGATATTTTTCCGACATCTTTCTCGTTGTAACCTAAGAATGAAATAAATTAAACGAAGATGATATCAATGAAATTTCAGAGAAAAAAAATAAAAACAATGTTACAACTTTTATTTAAATGAAAATGGACGGTCGATATTCATACACAATTGCATGCGTACCGTTCTCGGTGATGTAGATGACTGGATCTTTGAATTTGTACTTAGTGTAGAGTATGAGGTCTCTTATGCCTCTTGGGTAAATGACGAGCCAACTCGACCCACCCTTCACATAAAAATTCATATTATAAAATCGTAATAGAAAATTTTAGGAAGCTAGAGAAATAAATATTTCGTTAGAATTTATACCGGCGGTCCAATAGGCACTCCATTTCGATCGTCTGTCACAGAAAAACGATAAACGATCAAATATTATAAAAGCCATAACTATCATCAAAGTTGTTAATTATTAGGGTTTAGTACGTATTACGTAACATGGCCAAGATATTGAAACGACTTACTCGTGATTTTGACGCAAGGGTCACTCCCGTAGCTCATATTGACGGTGGTGCATGGCGCATCGGCCGCGTAATTAGAAGCATAGTAATTGATTCCGACGAAATCGTACGATCCTTTGAGCATTTTCGCCTCTTCGTGTGTGAATTTCGGTAGCCGCTCCGCCACGTGGCTCACCATATCCTCCGGGTAATGTCCCGATGTCATCGGTTCCAAAAACCTATGCACATATATTATAAACGACCATATTACATATCGTAATCTTCTCGAATCTTGTATCTATATATAAATGGCATATATGCCATAGAATGGATCACCAGTCGTATTGGAAGGCGATGGATCGAGCCGCTGCCATACGATCATCGTAGGGTGGGGTTATCGG